CACCAGGTGGGTAATTAATCACTTTAACTATGAACAATCATGCTTAAGCTACATAATCTTCACTCCCTGGAATGGAGATAAGAAACACCCTAACCTTTGTAATAGAAATTGACAGGATTAAAATCAACTGGTATAAATACGGATGTAACAAGACAATAAACGGCAGAACTTCTCTGGAGATCCAGACCAGAACTTGGCTGGAGATCCTGGCTAGGCTGCTGATCAACTGAACGCTGTCTCTGTGTCATTCCTTCTTCGCCGACTCCGTCCACACCTTTGGGGACCCCCAGTAGGTCCCCACTCTGCCCGCAGAGCCGCTGGTCCCCGCACTGCGCCCACAGAGAGGCGACTTGCAGGCACTTTAATGGCGAGACAGATGGCGGAGGGGACACAGGACTGGACGGGTCTCCTGTGCCCACATGCAGGCTCTCCTACCACAGTGACCAGTGAGCAGAGGGCCGGTCCCACCTCCAGTTGCCGTCATGGGACAGGTAAGCACCTCCCAGACACGAGCCACAGGTGCCCGCCTGGCCCGCCCGCGGAGGAAGTGGCTTCCGAGCTCACCAGGACTCTCCAGCCACACCAGGCTCTTGCTCCGCCCGTCCGTCCACTGCTGCTGCTTAACCTCCCTGCTCTTGAGGCCCGTGGGCCAGTCCCACCCGCCCTCCTCTCAGGCCAGTGCTGGGTGGCCACACGCCGGGCGCTGCTGGACCCGGAAGCGTGCTGAGCCGGGGTTCGAGTGGGGCCGGAGGAACCCCTCTCCCCCGGCTTCGGCCTCGGTCCTCATGCGGCCTCGGCCTCTTTCTGAGGCTGGAAGGAGGGACGTGTCCCACTCGGGATGTGGGAGCTCAAGCCAGCGAGCTGGGCTCCGCCACACGGGTCAATTTTCATGAAACAGCCCTACTGTGCAGTGTGGAGCCTCCTGTCAAGTCGACCTGTGAAACCAAAAATGTTTTTAAAATGACCTCAAAGACCAGCAAGTCGTTGCCCACAAACCCGTTCACAGCGGACGGCACCTGCTCACCCTGCTCTGGAGAAAAGGGAGCGTCGGGAGCCGACCTGCCCTGGGCCCCTCCAGGCCGGGCACCTGCGTCTGCAGATGCTCAGGTGCCCCTCCTTCCGGGGACGCACCCCACCTTCCCAAGGAGCCCAGCCTGGCCGGACCCCGCTGCCCTGCCCGCCTTTCCCATGGCACTCCCGCCGTCCAGGCCGCAGGCGTAGTGTTCGCTGTCTCTCTCCGATAGACCAAGCTCCCGACGACGGGGGTTGATCTGTGTGGCTGACTGACAAGCCCCCGGTCCCTAGGACAGAGCCTGACGGGCAGCAGGTACCCCATACACACGAACAGAAGGAGGTGAGGCTGAGCCACTCCACCCTCGACCGGACCTGAGAGCTCCTCGCGCTGAGGGCCTCGCTGCGGGCTTGGCGAGCTGTGCTCAGGACCAAGGGTTCCACGCGACTGGCTGCTTCCACGGCCGAGCTCCTGTTTCTAGTGTGAGAGACACTCACTCACCGGCCATCGGCCATTTCCCTAAACACGCCAGGCTCCGTGCACATTGGTAAAGAGCACGGCTCGGGAGCCTGTGCTTACAGAGGAGAGGCAGAAGGCACCCAGCCCCGGTGGACGCTCGCCGCCCTGCCCTGGGCGAGGACAGCCCGCAGGAGTGTGTTGGGGGGCGGCCCCTCCCAGCGGCCCTGCAGCCTGCCCCACGCACTGCCCACTCCTGAGCTACGCCGAGGGCTTGAGCAGCAGGAACAAGAAACACCAGCCTCCCTACGCACTGTCCACAGGGCGGGAGGCGTCTACACGGAGACGTCCAGAAGGGGCGGGCGGAGATACCGGGCAGGGTCCTGGTGGCCGGGGCGGGGTGGGGCGCCTTCTGCTGGGCACGGCTTCCAGTTGGGGAGACAGAAGTCTGTAGCTGGACGGTGGGGGCGCACACCTGCACACCCACGAGAAACCACTGCACCTGGCTCGGCTCACGTGTGATATTTACTTAGAGCGTCACACACTTTAAAAGGCGAAAGATCTGTGCGGTCTGAGGAGAAGCCAGAGGATGCACATGAAACGTCAGACTCTGAAACGGAAACTGCACACGCCCGACACGTGAGGTCTGAGATGAATTGATCCCACGCCAGCACCTGCTCTGCGAGGGGGAAAGGGCCATCTCGGTCCCTTCCCTGAGGCAGGTCCTCGGGAACAGACAACGGCCAGTCCCAGTGCCGCAGGCCTCCGCGCTGCGCTGTGTGGAGCCTCTGCTGACCACAGCACTGGACAGAGCTGCGCCCTCCGGCCCCGGGGCCGGGAGCCTGACAAGGGCCGGGCTGTCTCCTCCTCTCGATGGCTCACAGCCTTCCTCCAATGCCCCTCCGGCCTTGTGGGGAGGGAGGTGCGCTCAGGGTTAGAGTGTCAGCCGAGCATCCAAGGGTCTCGGGTTGATACCTGGTCAAGGGCATGGACCTGGGCTGCAGGTTTACTTCCTGTCCCCGATGGGGGTGCATTTGGGAGGCTACTCTCACATCAATGTCTCTCTCTCTCTCCCTCCCTCCCTCCCTTCCACTCTCTGTGAAAAGCAATGGAAAAAAATAGCCTCACGTGAGGATTCAAAACAAAACAACAGCCCACTCTTGCCACTTATATTCAACATAGTACTCCCCCGCCCCTTCTCGGCAATTAGGCAAGAAAAAGAAATAAAAGGCATCCAGGTTGGAAAGTAAGACATAAAACTATTTCTATTCTCAGAGGACAGAATATAGAACATACTAAGGAATAAACCAAAAATGAGTTGCACCAACAGGAAAGCTGCAGGATACAAGATCAATACATAAAAATCGACTGCATTTGTACACGCCAGCAATGAATAACCCAAACCTGAAGTCAGGAAACCACCCACTTAACACATTGTATGCGGGAAACGTGTTTACACATTTTAAGTATTTATACGTTCTACCAGTGTAGTAGAGCGCGGGACACGTATTAATACGTTTTTTATAGACTAGCGGTAGAATGCGGATAACGTATAAATATGTAAACTAAAGTTACCGTAATTTTACTGAACGTTGCCATTTGCACAAGAAATTAGCAAAAATGGCCCGCGCCACCTGTTAGCGCGCGATAAAAACTACCCGCAAACAATGTGTTAAAACAGCATCAAAGAGAAGGGAGCGTCGGGAATAAACGTAACCAAGGAGGGGAAGCTGTGCTATTGATGCTGGAGGACAGCGTTCATGGCCCGGAAGCCCGACGCTGCTGGGACGCAACACTGTGCAGACCCACCTATCGGGTCGCTCATCCGTATGAAAAGCCTGGGTTGTTTTGCAGAAATTCATAAGCTGAACCTAAAACTCACATGGAAATACAAGGCACCCAGGACGGACCAAACAACCTCGAACAGGTACAAAGTTGGAGGACTCACACCTCCTGGCTTCCAAACTCTCTGCAGCTCCATTGGGGTCGCGGGGTGCTGGCCTGAGGACAGACACAGACCAACGAACCAGAACTGAGTCCAGAGATAAACCCTTACATCCGTGGTCACGCGGGTCCTGACAAGTGCCCAGGCCACGCACTGACAGGGGCGGTGTGCACGCGGTGTCTGTCAGCATCTTGCGGCTGCTCAGAGCAAAGGCTCCATGCTGGGCGTCCTCATCGCGGCTCCGTGAGGGCGGGGCTGGGGTCACCACACAGGTACCCCCCCCCCGCCGCTCCGGCCGTCACTGGGCATAGTTCTTGGACAGGAGTCCTACCAGGGGGAAAAGGAGGTGGGTTAAAGACCTC